CGTTTATATATTTTTAACGCTCCTTAAGAATAGCTAATTTATTATAATTTTAGTACGCGCGGGTTCTATTTTTATACTTTTATTAAATACGATATACTTTAAAAATCCTATATACGATATATAAAACTCGTATTTATTATTATTTAAATATAAGTTCTATTATTATAGTTTTTATAATACGCTACGTACGTGCTCTTTATATATTATATAGTCGTTATTATATATTAAAATATTATTTAAGTATACGATATAACTGGTATTAACTAGGCCGTTTAAAACGTTATTAATATATATTTAAAAAGTTATGGGCGCGTTAGTTAGCTTAAAAAGGATAACTAGGTACTTAAACTACCCGTATTTAGTTTAAAAAGCCGTCTTTTACTTATTACCCTCGGCTATATACATATAATAATACGCATTCTTAAGGTCTAGTTTTATAAAAACGGAGGTATTAAATAGTTTATTTAGTATTTTATTAATTAATAGTAGTAGCGTTTTGTTTTTTTATATAATCTTATTAATTATTTTATAATTAACGTAAAATCGTAGCTCTCCTCTTTTTTTAAATATAAAAAGGATAAGTACTCTAGCCGGGCTTATAAAAAAGTATATCTAGCCCCTAGCCTCTACTTTTATTAAATAATTTTATAAAATCTCTAGCTTATAGTTCGATAATAAGTAAATAAGTCCCTAGGGGATAGGTATAGTATTATTTAGTTTAATATAATAGTCGTATAGTACTCTATTTAGTAATAAAATAGCCTTTTTTTTTAAAAATAAGTTATTAAAATCTTAGTATTATAATTTTTAATCCTTAGCTATACTTATTAATATTATATTATTATTTATAACTAAGTTAATTATAATATACGTAAGTATTATTAAAACTAAGTCGTTTAGTAGCCCCTTTTTTGGAGTATTTAAATAGATATATTATTTATAAATTAAATATTACTACTTTTTTTATTTCTAACTAATTAGTAAGTTAATATCCTCTAGCTAAGAAAAACTAAGAATAAGTATAAGTATTATAATATTAGCTATTATAAAGCAATATAGTTATATCTCTATTACGTTATTATTATTAATAATTTAAAGTTATAAGTAGTAGCTCCTTAATATCTTTATTTACTTACTCTTAACGTTTATTAGTTATAATAACGAGTAAATTCGTAAATTAGTATTAAAATTATTTAGTAGCCTAATACTAATTACGTTTTTTTTTATTTTTAAATTAATAAGGGCGCTTAGCTTTTTTTATATATAGTTTAGGTATATATAAGTCGAGATATTTAAGCGCTACCCTTATTAATTACTAATTACCCTCTTTATTAAAATAGTATTTAAGTTCGTTATTAGTCCGCGCTACTTAGTTAGAGCGAGGTCTAATTAATAGCTAATAGCTTTATATTCGTTTTAATTATATTTATAATATATAATACTAAAGTAGTTATTAGTAAGGTACCCGGTTTTATTATAATTATAGTACTATTAATACTACTTTTATAATTACGAGTAATCCCTTATAATATAACTAGTTTTTTTATAATTATAGTACATAATATCCTTATTAAGTAAGTTATAGTATATTTTTTATATAATTAGCTTATTAATACCCTTATATCTCTTTATTAATTTATTTAAATTTAAATTAAAATATTATTTAGGGGACGTTCGTAAGCTCTTTATTAATAATAAGGATTATTTAATACGTCTTATTAATAATACTAATTATAAGCGAGTTTATAAAAGTTCTATTTATAATATTATTATAAGGTATAGTTCGGGCCGTAACTTACTTATTAATATAAAGATCCTCTACTTTTTTATTAAGATATATTCTAATTCTATTTTAAACTTATTAATATAATTAACGAACTCGTTAACCCTCTCTTTTTAGCTTTATAAAGTACTATTTAAGTATATATTCGCTACTATTCTTTAGTTAGTAAGATTAAATAGGTTATTTTATAAAAAGGTTTTTAGTTCTTTTTATATAACTTAGTTTATTATAAACTTAGGGACCCTTTTATAGTTAAAAATATAGTATATTTAAGAGGTTTTTATATTATTACTTAAGTAGTTAATTATATATATTACTTTATTACGGTCTATTTTTATTTATTAAGCTTATAAATTAAAATAATAATAATAATTAAATAAGAAGCTTTATAAATCCCGTACTAATTTATTAATATATAATAAGTTAAAGAGAAATAGTAATCTAAATATAAACGTTTTATTTATAGTGCTTATTTAAGTTAAAAAGGAGCTAGTAAATAGAGGTTTAGGTAGTACGAACTCGTTATTTTATTATTACTCGAGTAACGTTTTAAATATAGTTTTATTTATTAAGCTATTCTTAATCTAGGGGTTTATATTTCTATTTATATTAAAATTAACGTCTAAAATTATTATAATTAAAATTATAATTCTTAGTATAGGGGCCGGGCTATTTAAAAAGTTTTATAAACGTTCTAAATTTACTCGTTTTTTATATAGTCGCTCTTTATATATTATTATAAAGATTTCTTTTTTTAATTATCGTTCTTATTTTTATAATTTTATTAATTTATTATTTATTATTTAGTTTAAGTATTAGCGAGCGAGAGTAAAAAGTTTACTATTTTATTTAAAATTCGTTAATATTTTTAATAATACGGTCCTTTTATATTATTATTATATAGTTTGTTTTATTATGCTCCGTTTTTATATTATTTATTAAAAAAAAAGTAACTTTAGGGGGTTTAATAAAAATAAATTATCCTTTTTTTATTATCGTAATACTAATTATACTTTTTTATTATATTTCGTTTTTATTAATATTTTAAGCTCTTAGCTTAGTTCTTTTTATAAATAAAAATTTTAAATTATTAATAAATATATAATATAAAAAAGAAGCTTATAAAAGCTAATTATTATTAAAATTTAAAAAATAAATTATTAAAATCTACTTTTCCCTTAAAGCGTATTATTAGCGCTTTATATATACCTAAGCTACTCTTTTATTACTTAGTCCCCCTCTTTATGCCCCTTAAGCTATCCCTTAACTAACGGGGTCTAACTGGCGAGGCCTGATACTTATAAAAGTCGTTCTTGTACATAATAGCACGTCAAGCGCAAAATCTCGAGCTACATCAAATTATACAGGGCAGCTTGAACTTTATACTCTCGTTGAAAACCCCGGCTCAAATATCTCGGAGTGACCTTCACTATGTTAAGGACCAGGTGATAAGTCAATAGGATTCACATCAAACAAAGTTCAATACGCCCCCTTTTAGGGCAAAAGCCATTTCAGTGAACATGTGGCTTTGCGAGAGGATGGAGATCAATTTCAAGGTTTGAGAGGACAGGAGTTTACGTTGGAGTGGCTGCTTTGCTAACGACATATCCTACCTTTTTCGAATACGCCACTGGACAGTTGAGAATTTGAAGTTGAGAGTTCTTTCAATAAGATAGGCAAGGTAGGCTTTCGGTATTGGCATATCACAAGGTGCGCCACCGCGACATTTTCCGAAGAACGCATTTGACCACTGCGTTCCTTCAGGTAAGCCTTGAGGAAAGTTACTACTTGACACTTGAAGACAGAAGAGATCAGGTTGCATTTGATACGGCTGTCATGCGCAGATCTTGCGTTGCAGTGTAGTCAGTACATCATGCTGCTTTATGTTCCTGGTGAACGCACACCACCCTGGGTCCATGTAGTGAAATCACTTCATCATCTAGGTTCCAGAATACTTCAACCCATCGCTCTAAGAAAGTTTTATTTATATATGATATGGACCTAATTAATCAGTCTCGAGGTATTAATTGACTGAATACAGCGGCCTGAAGAGCTCACGTAAGGATATTGCCTACCACCTCGTCGATGTCCCCGTAGCCTTTGATATAACCCTGTGATATCAGGGGCAAGGCCAAGTATAAAGCAGTCAATCAAATATACAATAAAAAATGCCCGTGTACAGGTCCCAAAATATATGGCTCCAGTGCCTAAGCTTCGTTCCTGGCAACACAAAGCATACCTGAGCTACACTGTCGTCACCCACCTCACTTCACTTGGGTCTGCTCTGCGTGGGGTCTTCTTCTCACGATTGGCCTCCCAGAACATCTCCACACCACATTGCATCCGCAATATGGATCACCGGCGTTGTGGCAGAGTGGTCTAATGCGCAAGACTAGAAATCTTGTTCCTTCGGGAGCGTCTGTTCGAATCAGGCCAACGTCGATTACCTTTTGTTTTCCTACGCAGTTGCATTTTGAATACCATAAGTTTGATACAGTTGAACTTCTGTGGCTGCCAAACGGCGATCGAAGGACTGAATCGTTATGTTAGTTAAGTGAACTCAAGTTCGTGCTGGCTTTTGACTTAGAAATCACTTGCCAAATTGCGGAATGCGAGTTCCAATTGTCTCTCCAGCAAGTAAGTGTACGTAACCCCAGTCCTTTTTGGGATCTATCATACTTCTCAATCAGCTACCTCTGAGTGGTGGCTGGCTCCCGTCCATGCTCTTAATATGATACATTGCCGCCTAAATCATCGTTGTTTCCCAATGGGGTAAAGAGTCTTCATTTCTCTGGCCTTTAGCTACTCGTGTATCAGCTCATGTGCAACCTCACGGGCGCCTACCCCAGATCCAGGTCAGAGAAATTCCGATCAACGCCCCGTTCTGTATGTCTCTCTTCAACTCTGACTCAAGCCTGTCCATGTCTTTAGTAGTTTGGAGAGTGTCGACGCCTCCAGATTCAAGTATAGATAGCATTACTGGCTGAGCAACCTCGGTGGCTATCTTTCTCATCGACTCTCGCATCATGCCCTCCATACTGAAAGTGTTCCAAACTTTATCGTCGACATCCGCCAAGCCAGCGTCTCTGAGAACGAGTGGAAGTTAAGCGGGCATGCTGTATTGGATGACGAGGATGAGTAAGATGAATTCGCTATAACTGTAGTGAGAGGAACTTGTCCAAAAGAACTGTAGACAGCACTGAGAGATTTGAAGAACTTAAAATGGATTGCGGCCAACTTTTATGGACCACAACATTCTGATTCGAGACCACTCGTCGAAAGCGTGGCTAGGCGGGACGCACTTCCAGGACGTATCGCCGGCTTCTTCCCAGTGGATGTACCCCCCGGAGCGCAAGAGCGCGAACGCATTCGCCGCCACAGTTCCCCAATCCTCCTTTCGCATTCCAGATCCAATCAAGCGTATGTGTATCATGTCGAATGATCCATGCATCTCCTCTGGAAACGGCTTCAACGCATTATGCTGCAGAAGAAAAATGTTTGGAGGCAAGTCAGATGGTGGCGGAAACTTGGTGGTGTCCATATCAATGCCTCGCAGCTCGGGGCTGGAGGGGAGCAACTTTGCCATGTCTCTCAGCCAGATGCCGGTGCCGGTGGCGATTTCTGCAACGCGAGGGTTCTGCTGATTCTTAAGATGTGTCAAGATTTGCTGGGGACAGAGTCCACCGCAAAGAGGGAGGAAGATGTTCCTGTGGTTGTACTCGAGTCGTTCACGTTCTTTGGCGAGGTCGCCGCGGTTGAGGGCGTAGACGATATCCTGGTCCTTGTTCCATGGTTCCAAGCCAGCGTGGGACTGCGGATGCGATACTGCTGGCATTCTATCAGAGTTCAGGAACAAGGTCATAAGTGCCTTTGAGAGTTCTTCCGATAGTGTGGAGCTCATTGTGTGGTATGTAGGGCAACTCGACAGCCTTTTATACCCAAGGTCACACGGAGGTTCGGAACTCGTGCTGCTTTCGATCGAGGCAGCACAGTAATTGAGTTGAAGGCATGAGAAGCTTTGACCAATCGCTCGAGGATTTGCTATCAACGTTGGACTACATCTCCATAATAGGCTTTCGGCACTTGGCTGCTAGAAGCGCGATTGGCAACTGGTGTGTCATTTCTGCGTAGGTAGTTCGTCTAAGATGCGGCTTAACATATCGTTTTGAACCTAACGCCCTTGACATCGCCGACTTCGGTCCCGGTGCGTAGTCTCGGGCTTAGTTAATACTGTAAGACCTGAGTATATGTAGAAAAGTCTAAAAAAGTCCTGAAGGTGACGATGTGCTGATGAAGGAAAATAACGTATCCCAGCGCCCGGACCATTACCAATTTGTGACGAGAGCACACTCTTCGTTCTCCAGATCTTCTCAGAATTGAGAAAAAATAGCGCTGTACTGTGAAGGAACGCATCTCCAACGTCACGGTTTCTGGGGCGCCGTAGTTATTACTCAGCACGGAAAGACCACTCCATGACATTCTTATTGGGTCGCTGGTGTCTGGAGGAGATCCCACGGGCAGAGGCGGATTCCAAGACGAAGTGGTAGACAGGAGAACTCAGAATACGATCTTGCGAGTCTGATGCATATCTCAATCAAGAGACAAACTGCTCCGTGGTCGATATGTTCATCACCGTTCCTGTCGGTCTAAATCCTCGTACGAGTCTGCAGCTGTAGACTCGTATCGATGGAGAGAGGACCGAGCCTTCTTGATAGCAACCCGCCAAGCCATCAGAAGCAGATGAGGGTCTCGGTCGCTTATCGATTCGCACAATCTAGCTCGCAACAAAGTTGCAGCATCTAACAGCATCATAGGTCTGAGGAAAAAGAAACCCTTCCGAGCAAGTGAGACATTTCCGAGCCTTCTCTATCTATAGGCTCCTCGGTTGTTCGGGCTACCAAGGTGCAGCTGGTACCAGAATGTTCGCTGAACTCACTTTTATGGTCTCGTACTTTTGCGGGTATCAAATGTCATCAAGGTTGGGGGCAAAATTTACACATCACCCGCACCAAAACTAGAATTGAAGCAAAACCCTGCAGCATCGACACAAGTTCAAAGATACTTAATTACTACTGATTCAGCCACGGAACGCTGCAGAGTGACAAGTAGAGCAGCAAGACATGTTAGGAGATAGGTTTGCTGAACGAAGTATGCGTATCTGAGCCGTGCTTTTTCTTTAATTCTAGGGTATGCTTGGGTGCAGAGTAGGAGTCCAGACTGAGAGGTAGGCGTCAAGGAAGATGCAACTACCTTAGGAGAGACGTTTTCATAGTTAGCCACTTAAAGACTCAAGGTACTCATAGTGCATGCACCATCAATTTCGGGGTTTACCCGAGCTTGAAGAGAGGAGACCACAGATCCAAAGCGTCAGCCTCAAAAAGTAGAGATTTGCCGGGTGATATGTGGATACTGACGCCGTAGCCTCCGTCTCGGGACGTCCCGGCCGGGATCGGCGCACCCCACATCATCGGGCTCATGCTTCCGGGCTATCATCACACCAGTCGTACGACGCTCACGTCGAGTGGCTCTTGGCGAAAGGAAATATAAAGAACATGACAGCCTTTGATTTTCAGCTTGAAAAGCTAGGCATGTTGTCTGAGTCGCAAGCAGTGCAACCTTCTTCAGCCTTCAATTTGGATGGGGCCCATTACGGCCCAGAGCTGAAGTGTAAGTTCTTTTAGTAAAGCCATGGCGTTGAAACATTCCGGAGCCGGCGCTGGCGCGCGGCTCTTTACCGGCACTTCGCCGATGCCACGTTGTGCAACTGTTGGTCTATTTGAGCTATTTTCCATGCTGCGGTGCCATCGTAATTTGCATCAGTAAATATCATGAGGCTGCCAACCTACAAAAAGTCTCTGACCCGGTCTTCATTAACCATCTTCACTCCTACCTGTCTCGTCTTCCGTCGGCTATGAATGCAAGTTCTACAACAACACCAGACCCGAACGGTTGAAATCAATACAAAATGGCGGAATATCCTGTGGAACAGTATGAGGGGGTGTTCAAAGAAATCTTGAACGACATTTTTCTGAAATGTCATTACGCCAACAACACAGAGTACTACATGTACATCGGGGACTTCAGCTGTAAAGACTACGATGCTTGCGCGTGTCCCATGATGTCACCGCAGCCAGATATAGCAGGCACAGGTGTAAGTTATTTTTTTTTTCTAGCACGACCTCTTGAGATTGAAAATGAATGACTTCTTACTGAAACCGTTCGGCGAGTTTAGGTGCTCGTGGCTTTCGCCCTCACGGCATTTTTCACTCTCCTCTCAGCAATTTTCTGTATCGTCGTAGGCCGTACCAATCAAACTCGACGGACCTTCAACCCGATTGACCGATATGGTTGCGAATGGATATCCGAACCTCTTCGCCGCTTCATGTTCCGAAGGGGCATGAACCCCGACTTGCATTCCCTCGTCGCCTACGACCTCGTCAATACTTTCAGCGATCTCCAGCTCGTGACAGGTCTCGCGGTATTTGTCGCCGGGATCAAGGAGCTGGCAGATGAATCGATCTCAATCTATCACTTTTTGATCGTCACCGATCTCGCGTGGTTCTGTACGAATGCTCACCTGCTATCGCTGGTGGTCACTCGCGGGTTCCGTGATAGCGTCAAGAGGACACACCCGCAGCGATGCAATCCCGAAAACACTGAAATGACTGCACGCCTGGCTCGCGCCCTACGGATTGTGCTGATGGCGGCCACTTTTATACTCCTTCTACTTGCATTCTGGGTCACTGGCTATGAAGATGTCTATTCTCCGGACCGAATGAGGTGCCCGATGAGATGCACCTTGGGAAAGAAGAAGGGCGGATGGCCTAGACACCTGATGGTAGCCAACATGACCTTGATGGCATACTTTTATGCACTACAAACCTTCCTCAGTTGGCGTACCGGTCGCATCTTTTGGATGGACCATATCAGAGGCTCACTGATCGACAAGCAAGGCCAACCGATCAATGTCTTGAATCCCGAAACAATCTTCAAACGATGGACTGAGAACAAATTCTTGAAGGCGCTGAGAATGTCGCTTCTAGCGGTTTGGTATTTCCTCGCGTCTGAAGTTGGGAACTTAGTGGGGTTAACTCTTTATTTTGGTTTCGGTGTCTACTCTCTTCTCGACGATAAGAGACGTTTAGGCAAAATGGGTGAGGTTTATACTGCCCATGGCGAGAGCGAGATTGTATACAGCCAGCTCGTTCCCATTTTCTTACTCATCATCCCCTTCATGGGCATCTTTGAGTCGCATGCCAGGCACTCGAAGACGGTCAAGGAGTCCGAGCTCAAGGAGGTGGGAAGTTGTACATCAGAGGGATCTTGAAAGCAAATTTGTTCCATGCGAGTGGTGAACCTTGAGGGAAAACAGGACGAAATGGACAGAACCAAGAAGACAGAATGACGAACATGATGAGTCTAATGACTCTGGTTGAGGCAGGGTAGGAGAACACCAAGCTATGCGGAGTGCCATAATACGCCGAAGATCGGATTACTTCTGAGTTAGAGAAAATGTCAGCATTTCTTTCGCAAGGTCAAAGCAACGTGGCGGTGTTCATCGTGAGTTCGCTCTCAGGGTTGGTCAGCACGTTCCCATCGTTTCCCCTTCCGGCGATGTCACTGATCGTTGAAGCGTTTGGCACTTTCAACCACCAAGAGGCGCAAAAGGAGAAACCGTCAGCCGGCAAGGCTGATGTCCCTTGAGACAAAAGAAGCCACAACAGGCCGCCGGTGGTTCTGAAAGCGTCGGCGTATCACCAAAAATTGGGATCAGGGCTGAACGGGAGGAAGATATGGGTGCAGGCACCGACATTTGCCCAGCGCCACAACGCTAGAGCGCGACATGTCTCATTCCCCGGCCTTCACGCGCATGCCAATGAGAGCGCCACCCATTCCTGACACTTTGGCTTTGACGCTGATGTCCCGCCTCCGTCAAGCTCTTCTAAACGCGGTCGGCGTAGCGGTGGCTGAGCGTAAGGTCGCGTTTTACAGGTTCTTCCGACACGAGACGATGAGAAGGCGGGCCGAGGATGTCATGCCAGGCAGAGGTGCGACTGAGCCTTCTGTCGTACCAAAGTAGACGAAAGTCAAGATTTCTTGCTGCGGCTTGTCTTGAGTTCTGACGAGCATGCAACATTCCCTGCAACTCATGCAGCAGAGATCACGACGATCAGTTGGCCCCCTCAAGGTGTATTGAACCTCGTGAAGCTAAGGGGTGGATTGTCAGCCTCCCGCCAAGCTCGCATACCCAATCCGAGGCACGAGTGTATCGGCGAATCTGATATAAGACGACCGTCACTCCTTTCCCAAGCAGGAGGTTAAGGACCGGACGACATCAAAACGTGCATTCACCTTATAGATCACCGTCATCACTCCAGTCAACATTGCCTCCCTCGACCGTGCTCACAGCCCAGAGACCTTGCCCGCAGCCATATCAACCCATCCATCACCCAGTACTTGCAAGACGGGGCTTCATTCGCACTCACACACACTCATATACACCCATACAAACACTCACAATGCGTCCCTCAACCTACCTCGTCGCAGCCCTCTGCGCGACAGCAAACGCCTTGCAAGCCATAGAAGTACCAAACCGCGCCAGCGAAGCCATAGCAGCCGCCAACGCAGCCATCAAGGAACGCCGCGACCTCAACGCCTGCACATCCGTCGCAACCTCCCTCCTCCCAAAAATCACCGACAACGTACCCACTCCGCCCGCCGACGTGGCCGCCTACCTTGCGCTCTCAGTGACCATCACGGACGCCTGCTCCGACCCGACTATCACGGGATCCATCGGCTCCGCGTACTCGACCTATGCATCGTCGTACACCTCGTGGAGAGATAAGCACATCACCGACTTCCGCGCGCTGTGGCAGGCCTGCAGCGACGTTCCTGGAATCG